TGTTGCATATGTTTAAGACGAATGTGCGCGGCGCTGAGGCAATATCTGCACTTTGAACAACACGAGCCCTCCATCCTTGAAACTGTCGCAAACTTTTAAAACGAATGGACGCGGCGCTAAGGCGAGATCGGCACTTTGAACAACACGAGCCCTCCATCCTTGAAATTGTTGCAATCTTTTAAGACGAATGTGCGCGGCGCTCAGGCGAGAGCTGCACTTTGAGGAGGAGGAGATGTTTCGGGAGCGGACGAGTTTCGGGACGAGTTTATTCACCGCGGAGAGCTCCAGGGGGGGGGGGACCAAAACTAAAGAAGTATGGAGGTTACTGCCATGGTTGCTTCTCCTCGCTTGCCAGGGCGATTCCCTAGAAGTTTGGCGCCACCTGCATTGTTATCATGGAGACGTACTGGTGCACCGTCGCCCTGGGTTCTTCCCTGTCGGGGCAGCGTGCGGGGTCCAGCGAGTCGTCCTCCTCGTCGTTGCCCTGCGCCCGCGCCTGGTGCAGCGCGAAGAGATCCTCCTGCACCTCCTGCGTCTCCCAGATCGAGGGCCACTCGTGCCGCGCGAAGAGACGGGCCGTGGCGACGCGGGCCTCCTCGTCCGCTTGAGCCTCGTAGTGCCCCCAGGCTCGCGTGAAACAGGCTGACCCGCGCACATTCATGTCACGGGCGGCGCCAGAGGCCTCCATCAGGGGCGGAGCGCTTGCAGCATGCGCTCGTCCTCCGGCGTATCCGAGCTCTCCACCTCCAAAGGCTTCAGGAACAACTGCTTGAACAGGCAGGCGGTCTTGCAGTCTTTTTTCATCGGTGGCATGGTGAAACCCTCGAAGGTGAGCGCGCGGAGCTCAGGGGCCAGGCGCTGCTTGTTGGTCGCGTGCAGCGCGTACTGCGGCACGAAGTCGAAGTCCAGGTGCCGCGGGCAGGCCTTGTTTCTCCACAAGCCGTCGAGCTTCTCGCAGCAGTATAATCACATGGCGTACGCCTTCAAATTCATGTGCTTGCGGACCGGGTCGCCACCGCGGTGCAGCCCGTCGTCAAGAGTGCTCGTAGCTTTCATGATGCCGAAACTGTCCCCCGTTTTCGGGGTCTCCTCGCTCTCGCAGCCCATGTCCTGCATGAGTTTCGCCAGGATCGACACAACCTGGCGATGATCGTTCGCGTCGCGCGCCGCCTTGGTCGCGACGTCGTGCTCGTAGCCCGTCAAAATATCCGGGAAGCGGTGGCTTTCCAGGCTCACGTACACCGCCTGCCCGTCATCGTTTTTTTCCCTCGCGACACCCCTCGAATGTGTACGGGTCGAGGCCGCGTCCGAGGTACTGAGCCGGGGCGCGGCCCCCGTCCTGCTTGGCCTCTTGCTGGAAACAGCGCCCGTACTCGCGTCGCCGCGCCGCCGCCAGGAAGACGCCCTTCTTGATGAAGATCGTCCAGCATCGGTGGGACGCGTAGGTGAGGTGGCCGTAGAAGATCGGGGGCAGCATCTCTGGCCCGCTCTTCCAGAAGCATCAGTGGTACGATGCGGACAGATTCTTCACCAGATCCAGCGTCTCTCCGAACTTGGACTTGCCCCCGAGCGCTCTCCGGTCGGCGGCGGACAGAGACTTTTCGGGGTCATCTCCGCGCTGCTGCAGTTCAGCTTCATCTTCTCCTGCTGCGCCTGTCGCTGCGCCTGCAGCCGCTCCAAGCCGCGCCGCATCTCCACGATGACGCCCTCCATGCTGGGGCACTGCTTCGTCGTGTAGGAGTTGATGTAGAAGCCCGTGTTCAGGCCGTCGCTGAACGCTGCCTGGGTATCCAGTTCCAGCTGGTCCGCGAAGGCGGCCGTGGCGCCCGCGTCCTCCGTGTCCTCGCTCCCCGCGCCCTCCGTCAGGCATTGCAGCAGAATTTCCCGCCACTTTTCCGGCGAGCAGTCGTCTGTCCACGCGAGCGGCTCCTCTGGCACCTCTGGGCGGTTGACGTCAGCGTCGGCATCGCCCAGCTCGCACGGGCCCCAGGAGCTCTGGACCATTCTCACAGACATTGGGCGTCTCGTCAAAATCAAGACGTCAGTTTTCCTTGTTTCCGGCCTCTCGAGGTCCTCGCCAGGCCTCGGGACCGTCAAAAAGCGACTCGGGATGAAGAACCAGTTTTGGGGAAGTGGTCGGGAGGTCTTGGGCCCGTGTCTCGAAAATGTCGAGATGTCGGATGTGTGGGTTCGGAGAGACGCAAAGATTAGAGGCCTCCTAGACAGGGTCCGAATGAATGGAGTCAAAGGATCTCGCCGCAGCGCCACTGCATCGCCGATGCATCGGCGATCCATCGGCTACGTATCGGCGACGTCGGCGATGCATCGGCGATGCATCGGCGACGTCGGGGTGGAGAAAATTGGGCCACGCATCGAGCCGCATCGCCGATGCATCGGCGATGCATCGGCGATGCGGTGCGATCCTCCGACCCCGTCTGCTCGGACCCCATCTGGGAGGCCTGGATTTTTCAGGGGCCCTGGGAGCTCTGGACCACTTTCGGAGAGACGCAAAGATAAGACGAAGCCAAGATGAGGGTAAAATCAGGGGAGGATAAATCGAGAATCTCTGAGATCCGGCGGCTCTGGAAGATGTCTCGGGCGCCGAGGCCTTTTCAGAGCGTTCCGAAACCCTCTGAGAGCGTTCCGGAACGCACTGGAACGGTACACAGAAAGTCTATTGGATAAGAAAACAATATAACATTGCATTGAAGCAAAAGCAAGCGGAACGATATTACATGTCCCCGGCGCTATTCCAGTCAGATGAAAGTGCGAAGCCGACAGACAGACAGACAGACAGGCAGACAGAAGCCTTGCGTCCAGAAGGACGCGTTGGCAGGACAAATACAAGTGACCAAATGTCACTCGAAACACTTGAAAGTGCGAAGCCACCACGACAGAGAGGAACCCAGGTCAAAATAGCGAGACACCAGGATCGCAGTACCTCGAAACCCCGACGCAAAACCGAATTGGGGAAATTGCATTTCGTTTCAAGGACGCGCGCCCCACCCCCACGCATGCGGCCAGCGGCACGCAAGGCAGGGGAACGACGGAAACCCGCGTCCTTTCACGGGGCCAGAGGTTCTCGCGTGGAAGAAACTACGCTGCCAGAGGCTCGCGCAGCTGACGATGCCACAGGCTCTCGTCGTACACACATATTACCAAAAAAGAAAAATGAAACAAACAAAATGATAAAGAGAATTATGAAAAGACCTGCGTTGCCAGAGGCTCGCGCAGTTGGCGAGGCCAGGGGCTCTCGCCGTCGACTGAGTGATAACCAACTGTGCGGCAAGAGGCTCGCACAGCTGACGAGGCCAGAGGCTCTCGCCGACGCCGGCTGGACCATACAGGACTCGCACGTGGCCAGAGGCTCGCATACCTCACAAGGCCAAAGGCTCTCGCCTCGCTTAATGCGACACCCGCAACCCAGCGCCGCAAGAGGCACGAGCAGATGTGGATGCCAGCGGCACTCGTGGGACCCCTGCTTTGGATCCGCAGGCCCGGGGAGGCTTTCCAGGAGGGCCCCGAGAAGCTTTCCATGAGGCCCCCCAAACGCTCCAGCGTCGCCACGGCATGATTCATTGTCGTGCGGGTTTCCAATTTTGGGGGCCCGCCTGAGGTTTCTTCCATAATCGCTGGAGGGACCCAAAAGTGACGACAGGTACAAGTTTCCGATGACGCGATCAAAGTGCCCCCGCCTGAGACTTATTCGCGATTCACTCACAGACGAGGCTCCCGCCTGAGACTTCCTCCATATTCAAGCCTGAGGAGCCCAAGAGCGACGACAGTTATAGGTTTGAGGATGACCCGCTCGGATTCGAACATGCAATGCGGGCCCCATTAGAGAAGAGGCTCCCGCCTGAGACTTCCTCGCAATTCGTTCACAGGAGGCGTCTTGGGGCCCCTCAGGACTCCCGCGCCGGGCTCCTGCCCCGCTGCCGACGGTCTGACGGGGGCGCCCCCCTCGGCCTCCGCGAGGGCGCGCCTTCCGGCGACGGGCGCCGCCTCGGGCCTGCCGACCTCGGGGGCAGGGGCGAGCATTAAGTCTGGCATGGGCGCTGTACAGGGGGAAGATTCAAGAATTTGTAGAAAAATCGGGAAGAAACGCCGGAACTCAAAAACGGCTCCAAAAAGACTCGAAGAACGACCCTAATTACGATTCAACAAACGACTCAAAGAACGACTCTCAATAACGGAAAACGGTTTTAACACGACTCAAAGAACAATTCAAACAACGAAGGAAAGGGGTCCAGATTTCTGGGGGCCCACGTCATACAACAAGTCACGACGTCGGGGGTCTGGGTTTCCAGCCTCTGGATGCGTTCCAGCTGCTGCGCCTCTCCGAGGGCGTTCCAGGGCTGCCCGGATCGTCGTCCCGAACGGCCGCTGGAGAGCCGAGTTGTGGACCGAAAACCTCAGGGGCAACGACAGGGGCGATAGGCATAGGGGGGATGTTTCGACCTCCAATCGCCCATTGATCGCCGACAGGGGTCTGATAGCCCCAGGCCGCCCAGGAAGGTGGGGATTCAGTATCGGGGGCCTATCGCCGATCTATCGACGATGTATCTCCGATTCCAGGTCGATGCATCCCACCCTATGCCAGTCCCCCACCAGGGGCAACTTCGGGGGGCCCCCCAGTCGCCCATTCAGCGACGCCAGGGGCCAGCCCACCCTGCTCAGGAGCGCGCGGATCCGGTACTGGGGGCCTATCGCCGATTGATCGGCAGTATATACATGGGAAACCCATGCCAAGCACCGCACCGCTTGCCTCCAGGGTTCCCTGTGCTTCTTGGGTATCGATGGTTTTGCTATGGGAAGCGTGACGCTCCCACACCAAACATCAATGGACGTGCTGGGGTCTCAGGGTTGGGTTTCTCGCGGAAGGGTTATTGCTGTCGAGCTCCTGCTGTAGCCGATCGCATGTCGACGTTTCCCCTCCCTGAGCTGGTCCCCCCCTTCCCTGACGTTGCCCCTCACCTTCGGGGTGGGCCCGGACACTTTAGGTTCCACCAGCAGTTCCGCACCCTCATCGGCGTGAACTGCGAGCGCCGCCTCTATTTCGCGGGCGATGCCCCCCCCTGGCGGCTGCTCTTCTCTCCAAGCCCCTCCTCTTCCTCCCCCCCCCTCTTCTCCTCCCCTCTCCTCTTTCTCCCCCTCCTCCTCTTCCTTCTCTTCATCCTCCTCTTCCTCGCTCGCTCCCCCTTCTCATTCACCCGCCTCTTCCTCCCTCCCTCCTCCTTCCTCGCTCAGACGAGGACAAGGTGCCTGTGACGCTGCCTGCCTCTCGTCGCCACTACTCGATTCGCTTCGAAATTCTGGACAAAACGCACCCCATGAGAGGCCCGCGGAATAGCGGCATTGGTATCTTCTTGTTTCATTGCCCTCTTCCTCCTCCTCCTGCTCCTCCTCCTCCTCCTCCTTCTTCCTGGGCCTGGCCCCATCCCCTGGCGCGCTCCACACTCCGAGGGATGGTGGTTGTAGCGCCGACCCAAGAATCGGCCACGCGCAGAGGGGGGGAGGGGGAGGGGGGGGGGGCTTCTTAAGGAGGGGGCTGCTTCTTAGAAGGCGCTGGCCTTTCATCTATAGATGGCGGCCCGCGCCTTCTAAGAAGCCGACTCCTTCTAAGCAGCCTTCCCCCTCCCCCATACCACCTTTTGCTTGCCGCAAAAAGAAGTCCGCACATACCTTTGAGCGTTCGCGCACAGTTTGTTTGTTCTTCGGTCAGGTGATAAACGCATGCCGATGCAGATGTCAACTCCTGAAACTGCCTCGGAGTCCTGGTCAGAGCGCGCACCAGGACAGGTCAGGGGAGTAGCTGTATCGCAACTTTGGGCCATTGACTCGGGGTCCCTGAAGCAATCCGTTTCGGCTTCCCCCCGGACTCGCCGCTGGCAATCACCGCCCTGGAGAGAACATGTCAGATGCTCACGCTGGGGACCTTCCTGGAGCCACTCGCTCCACTCGTGCTTCGTCGCTGCGTCGAGCGTCCGTCGACTCCAGTCGAACTGGAGTCGAACCTGAGTCAAACCCGAGTCGAACCTGAGTCGAATTTTAGGCGATCGCCAACATGGATCAAGGGGGCGTGTATTAGAGACGGGTCCCATTTCCATGGGAAATCGCGGATTTCCGCCGCCGACTTAGGCGGCACTTGTTGGGGAGGGCACCTCTCCCGATCCATGGATTTAGCGACCGCGCGCCAAATCCATGCATCGCGAATCCATGTTGGCGCGCCCCCGATAGTATTCTGGTAAGGATGGGCAACCTTCCCAAGGGTACCCTTGCATCCTTGCCTCCTCGGTCCATCCTTTGCCACTTTCGCTGGCCGCGCCCTGCTCGCAGAGCTTCGAAACGGGATTCCAAGGCCCTTGCATCCCCTTTGTGCATCCTTCCTGTGCAGGTCGACTGCAGGGAGGTCGATGATGCGTAGGGCGCGCCCCCGAGAATCTGAATCGAGCATCAGTCCCTCGCCGCCGAAAGGCCCTGCCCGGCTCGTGCCCCGCGAGCTCGGCCCGGGAAGCGCATGCACCAGGCGGTGCTCCCCGCGCGGCGGGCTCCCGCAGGCTGCCCGGGCGGCCCAGGGCAGCGCGGCGAGGGCCGTCCCTCAGGTTGGTGCCTCTGCGAGCCTTCAGTCGGGCTTGTCCCTCTACAGTACGATACGCCGTCGACCAGCAAAGCACGGACGACACGAACTGAGACACCCGGCCCGTCGGCCAGGACGTGAAATCGAACCAGAGCGAGCTGGACATACACACCAATTTCAAGCTTTTGACCTTCACGTCCACATCCCGACGTCCAGCATGCGACATCCGATGTTTCACTTCCACCTCCACCTATCGACCTCCAGCTTCTTCCAGTTCACCACTCCCACCTCCAGCATCCAGCATTCCGACTTTCACTTCCACCTCCACCCGTCGACCTCCAGCGTCCAGCAGCGCAGCACTCCGACCTCCTCCCTCCAGCAGCATGTGACTTTCCACCTCCACTTCCACCCATCGACCTCCAGCGTCCACCAGCTCAGCACTCCGACTTCCACCCTCCAGCGTCCGACTTTCCACCTCCACCCTCACCTGCCGTTCACCCAGCACTCCGACTCCAGCATCTGGCTTCCGACTCTCCACTTCCACCTGCACCACTTTACCTCCAGCGTCCACCAGCTCATAACTCAGCGCCCCGACTTCGGCAAACAAGGACTACAAGCACTGAGGGCCCCGGCCCCCCCGCGCAGGCCCTGAAGGGCCCCGCTCCCGGCGGAACCGCGCGCTCGCCTCGCCTCGCCTCACCTCGCCTCGCCTGTCCCTCTACACTAGGAACATTCATAAGTGGTCCAAACATAGTAGGGGACGATTCGTTGAGCATTTGTTGGCTATTTTTACGTGTTCTTGTTTGAGTATGTTTGATATTTCGTCCCAATTCCCCCTGTAGGGGGGGGGCATGCCCGACCAAAGGCGAGCCCTGGCGTGCGCAGGGTTGGCGGCTCCATCGAAGGGGCGCGCCCCTCCGCTTCCTCGCAGGGCCTCCCAGATGGGGTCGGGGGAGGAGGAAGAGGAGGAGGAGGAGGAGGAGGAGGAGGAGGAGGAGGAGGAGGGAGGAGGAGGAGGAGGAGGAGGATGGGATGGGGGGGGGGGAGGGGGGGGGGGGGGGGGGGAAAGGGTGGAGGAAGAGGAGGAGGAGGTGGAGGTGGAGGAGGAGGAGGAAGAGGAACGCCGCTCGTGACGACCCGTGCTCGCGGCTCTAGCGAGGTCCCTCCGCAATTAGCTTCCCTGCACTCCCCGTGGATGGGGCCGGAGCAGATGGGGTCGGAGGATCGCGCCGCATCGCCGATACATCGCGACGCATCGGCAATGCAACGATAACGCACCGGTGATGCATCGTCGACGTCGGCAATGCATCGTCGGCGACGCCGATGTAAAGCAAATCGGGCTCTCCCGGGCGCCGATCCTCCTCCTCCTCCTCCTCCTCCTCCTGTTCCTCGTCCTCCTCACCCTCCTCCTCCTCCTCCCCCTCCTCCTCCTCCTCCTCCTTCTGCCAGCCCCAGGGAGCTCGCCGCTGCAGACCTCGCGGGCGAAAAACACATCGGCATCCGCGCCCTCGCGGTCTGGATTCCAGGGCGCGATCCCGCGGGAGCGCAGGGCAGCGAGTTGCGGAGGGACCTCACGGGAGCCGCGAGCGAGGGTCGTCACGTCGGCCACGCGCAGAGGGGGGGTAGGGGGGAGGGGAGGGGGCTTCTGAGAAGCCTTCCGCCCCTCCCCCATTACTCCCCTGTGCGCGCCGCCAATCACGAGCGGCGAGCATATCCGCATCCGCGCCCTCGCGGCTTGGATTCTGGGGCGCGATCCCGTGGAGACGCGGTCGCACGGGTACGTTTTTTTCGCGGGGCACCCGCGAACAAGAAACGCTCCGTCTCTCCGCGGGGTTTCGCGGCCTAAGGGCCCGGCCTGCGGTAGCAACTCATGTGAGCCTTGTGTACCCTCGCAATTGTGTCTTTAGCGTCGATTAGCGTCGACTAGCGTCTGGGAGTCATTTAGCGTCGTCTAGCGTCGATTAGCGTCGACTTCGCGTCGTCTAGCGTCGTCTAGCGTCGATTAGCGTCGATCCGCAAGAGCCGACAATATGGTATGGCAGGCTCCCATGAGTTGCCACCGAAGGAAGACGAGGAGGAGGAGGACGAGGAGGAGGAGGACGAGGAGGAGGAGGACGAGGAGGAGGAGGGGAAACGACGCAGAAAGAATAGGCGGGGGGAAAGTCGGGTGAGGAGGAGGAGGGGGATGGACGGTGCCGCCCCACCACGAGGCGAGGCAGTCGTCCGCGAAGGCGTTGTCGGCGACCGCCTCTTCGTCTTCAACCTGGGCGCCGCCCGCGTGGAGACGCCCTCGGCAGTCGCCGTCGCTACCGCAGCGGCGCTGTCGCCGTCGCCGTTTGTCGTCGTCGTCGTGTCGTGGCCGTCCCCGTCGTCGTCAAGACTCTCCGCCTCTGGCACTTCCTCCTGCTCCCGCTCCTCCTCTTTTCCTCCTCTCCATCCTGCCCCTCCTCATCTTCCCACATTGTCGCCGTCGCAGCTTCCGCCGCCGTCGTCGTTGTGACATGATGCCAGCGCATGGTGACAAGAACAGCACCGAGTTAAACCGGTACACGTAACACTTTGGGACCACTTGTGGGTTGCAATCCATTGGGCGCATCAAATGGGGTGCAACCAGTGATCTTTTCTCGTAGGCTGCACCCTATAGGTGCAACGTATGCGGTGAAACTGACAGGTGAAACCTAAGGAGGACCATGCACGAGGTGTAGTCAATGAGCGTCAGCTTGTTGGCAATACACTTGACGCAGTGCGTGCAGTTACCCAAAGGCATGTGTTAGCAAAACCTCACGGGCGCATTGACGAGCGGCTTTCGCCATCCAGATAAGTTATTCGGGCGGAAAGGTGATGATGGTTTCGGGGGATGTAAAAGAAGACGCTGACGGCGAATCACCGCCGCCCCCTGCCTTTTGTACATTGCCCATCTGTCCGAACGTTGTGGCCAGAGCTCTGCCAACCTTAGGACCACATGTCCCCCCAGCCGTTGTGGAAACCCTTCGGGGAACACGCGGGGGAGGTAAAATAACCGGAGGAGAGGGAGGACAACTAGAGAGAGGAGGGGGAGGAGGAGGAGGAGGAGGAGGAGGAGGAGGAGGAGGAGGAGGAGGAGAAGGATGAGGAGGAGGAGGAGGAGGAGGAGGAGGAGATGCAGGAGGAGATGCAGGAGGCGATGCAGGAGGAGAAGGAGGAGGGGATGCTTCTTGGGCCGCATGAGGTGATCTGGGAGGCCTTTGTAGCCATCTTGGGGCGATCTTGGGGGCTTCTTGGGCCGTTTTAGGCCGTCGGAAGGTCGAAAAGACGCTAATTCCAAATTATTTCAAGCACCTAAGGCACACCAATAATTTGGACCTGTTCGGGATCTCCTGGAGGACTTCTTGGAGGCCACTTGGGTCGTCTTGGAGGAGGCCTCTTGAAGCCATCTTGGACCCTCCGTTTGGCCGTCTTGGAAGCCATCTTGGACCGTCTTGGGCGAACTTGGAAGCCTCTTGGGGCCGTCGTCGAGGCTTAGTAGGCCGTCATGAGTTCCTCTTGGAGGCCTTTGGGGCCTTCTTGGCGCGATCTTGAGGGCCTCGTGGGCCGTCTTCGGCTGTCGGAAGGCCGAAAAGAAGCAAATGCCAACATCCCTTTAACACCTAAAGAAAATCATTGATTTTGGTCTCTTCGGACCCTCTGGGAGAACCTTTTGGAGGCCACTTGGGTCGTCTTGGACGCCTTTTGGGGGGCCTCTTGGAGCCATCTTGGGCCGTCTCGGTGGCTTCTTGGGCGGACTTGGGTGCATCTGGGATCCTCTCGGGCAGTCTTAGAGGCCATCTTGGACCATCTTGGGCGAACTTGCAGGCCATCTTGGGCCATCTTGACCATCTTGGAGGTCATCGAGGCCGTCTTGGAGACGCTGGTTGCGCAGCGGCGGCGGGGACTTCAAGGTGGCCGGCGACATGCACCGAAGTTCCAGGTGAGTCCTTTGGGAAATCAACCGAAACCAAGCCGTCGAATCTAGCACGCCAGGTACCTCTGTGATAAATCAACAAGGAGCGGCGGATGACGGAAAGCGCGCGTAGCGTCGCGATCTTCTGATCGGTGAAAGCGCGTTCCGTCGGCGTTTGGAGGGGGGGGTGTTGGAACCGGACCTCCCCCCCTGGAATGAAGGGGGGGGGTTGGAACCCCACCCCCCCTCTCCCGTGACGAAAGGGGGGGGTTCGAAACACCCCCTTTCCTTCCTCCTCACCTATTTCTCCTCTCTCTCTCCTCGGGCCGGCGCTGGCGTCGGTGGCGTCTGGCGGCGGCGGCGCCGGCGTCTCTTGGGTTTCTCTGAGGTGGTGGTGGTGGTGGGATGTGCTGGTTTTGGTGGTGGTGGTGGTGGCGGTGGTGGTGGAGGTGATGGGTGGTGTGGTGGTTGGTGGCGGTGGTGGTGGGCGGTGGTGGTTGAGGTGGTGGTGTGGTAGTTTGGGGTGGTGGTGGTAGTTGTGGTGGTGGGTTGTGGTGGTGGTGTTGGAGCCGGTGGTGGTGTGGTGGTTTGTCGTGGAGGGTGTGGTGGTGGTAGTGGTTGTGGCGCGAGGTGGGTTGTTGTGGGGGTGGTAGTGGTGGTGGTTGTGGTGGTGGTGGTGGTGGTGGTTGTGGTAGTGGTGGTGGTTTCGTTATGGTTGTGGTGGTTGTGGTGGTTGTGGTGGTGGGTGGTGGTGGTGGTGCTGATGGTGGTGGGTGGTGGTGGTGTGGAGGTTTGTGGTGGTGGTGGTGGTAGTGGTGGTGCGTTGTTGTGGTGGTGATGGTTTGTTGTTGTGGTGGTTGTGGTGGTGGTGGTTGTGTGGTGGTTTGTGGTGGTGGTGGTGGTGGGTTATGGTGGTTGTGGTTGTGGTGGTGGCTGTGGTGGTGGTGGTGGCGTGGTGGTGTGTGGTGGTGCTGGCGCTGGTTCTGGTTCTGGTGCTGGTGCTGGTCCTGGTGGTGGTGGTGGTGGGTGGTGGGTGGTGGTTCTGGTGGTGGCGGTGGTGGTTCTGGTTGTGGTGGTGGTTATTGTGGTGGCTGTGGTGGTGGTGGTGGCGTGGTGGTGGCGTGGTGGTGCTGGTGCTGGTGGTGGGTGGTGGGTGGTGGGTGGTGGTTCTGGTGGTGGCGGTGGTGGTTCTAGTGGTGGTGGTGGTGTGGTGGTAAATGCGCGGTGGTGGTGTTGGTGGTGGTGGTGATTGTGGTAGGTTTGCTGATGGTGGTGGATGTGGCTGTGGTGGTGGTGGTGGTGTGGTGGTTTGTGGTGGTGGGGTGGGTGGTGGTGTGGCCTTCAAGCCTTCGGGTCTTTCCGCCACCGTGTCTTGTCTTTGGGTCGCAGTTCTAATGAATGCCTCTTGGGGTCTCGTCAGAAGGGTCTCGGGGGCGTTCGAGGAGAGGGCTCCTGGGCGCCTCTTGGGCATCTCTTGGAACTTTCTAAGGGGCCCCGGTGGCTCTTGAGGAGCGGGGGCTCGATATTGATATTGCGATTTGTATTTTCTCGCTTCGGCCTCTGGGCTCTATCTGGTCACCGTCGCTGCATTTTGCCGTTGATGCTGTCAGCCGCCGCCAGCGCAGGCGCCAGCACCGGCACCGAGGGACGAGGGGGGAGGGGGTCGAACCCTCCCCCCCCTGGGAAGCTGGAAGAGAAAATATTGGGGGAGTTCGAATCCCTACTCCTTTCCCGGGGGGGGAAGGCAGGAAAGGTTTGACCCCCCCCCCTTGACCTGGGGGTGTGGTTCGGGGACGGTGGGGGTTAGGGGGAAGGGGGTCTTCCTGGTTCTGTTCGATGGGGGGGGCCGGTTCGAAACGCACCGCCGAATGTTCCCAAGGCAAACGCCCGTGAAACGCGTTCTCTATTTGATCGGGAGGCATCTGAAGTGGCAGTGTGAGGGTGTGAGGGGGTAGGCAGGCGCACGCCCAGATGACAGAAAGCGCGCGCAGCGTCGCGATCTGTTAGCCGGGAGAAATATCAAGGGAGGGTGTGGGGAGTAGGCAGGAGTAGCCTCAGATAAGGGAACGGGCGAGGTAGTACTGTTGTGAATGAAACGGATCTCGGGCGGCTCCCATGGCCCGTTGCCTGGTTTTTTTTTGAGTGGGTCCGCTGAAGGGCCCCAAGACGTCCCCAGATTGCCCCCAAACGGTCCAAAATGGCACCAAGACGGCCCCTAACGAGCTTCAGATGGCCTCCAGATGGTCCAATCGAGCCTCAAGACGGCTTCAGAAACCCCTCAAGAGGGCCCCCGTGAGGCTTCAGGAGGCCAAGAACAGTGATTTTCCCTGGGTGTTTGAAGGTCGGTCGGGTTCTCGCCAATTCGGGCCCACAAGGGCCCACGACTGCCCAAGAGGCCCGAAATATGCCCCAGAGGCCCCCCCAAAGGACACGAAAACGGCCCAAGAGGGTCCCCAGACGGCGCCACAGGGTCCAAAAACGGCCCAAGAGGGCCCCAAGACGGCCCCAAGAGAGCACCACGATGGCCCCAAGAGGCTCCCAAGAAGGCCCGAAGGAAGGGAATTACCCCCCTCCTCCTTCTTGAGGGAAGGGAAGGGAAGGAACCTCTACCTCCTCATCCACATCATCATCATCATCATCATCATCATCATCACCATCATCATCATCATCATCAACATCATCAACATCATCAGCATCAGCATCAGCATCAGCATCAGCATCAGCATCATCATCAGCATCAGCATCAGCATCAGCATCAGCATCATCATCCTCATCCTCATCCTCATCAGCATCATCATCATCCTCCTCATCCTCATCATCTTCATCATCCTCATCATCTTCATCCTCCTTCTCATCCTCATCCTGTTCCTCCTCCTCCTCCTCCTCTTCCCCATCCTCCTCCCCCCCCTTTAAATTGCAGATGGACGGGGAAGGGAGTGAACTCCCCCCCCGCTCCTCCTTCATGAGGGAAACGGAATGAATTCTAGACGCGACCCTGGAGGACATGGGAAAAGGTGAAGGAGGATGCGGCGGAAGGGGCGGGAGCCGCGGAGGCCGCGGAAGATCGGAGGCCTGAAGCGGCGGAGGCCGCAGAAGGCGCGGAAGAGGCGCAAACCGTCAGCCGTGGCCCTCGAGCAGAATCGGGTAGAAGAGAGTTTGTTTCCGAAAGTGCGGACGGCAGTCGCAACAGTCCGCGAAACGAGATCCTGGACCAGCAGGGGCTCGCCTGCCACAGCGTGCCATCCCTACCTTCTCCACAAAGTAGGCAGACCGTCATCACTGCTGCTCCTCACTCCAATCAGCGCCGTCGGGACAGTGTCGATGTGGAGACACGAGAAGACACAGGGCCTGTCAGGCCAGAG